AAGATTTAAAAAAATGCTTCCCGTATATTCCCATGATTAGCATCTCAGCTGAGGACAGTAAAGTGCAATGCATGCAATGCATATTCAAAAATTGCTATCCAGATTAAGCTTGCAGTTGAATGCTTGAAAATATCTTGAAATATTCCTTTCCTTGGACATTATTCTCTGTATAATCTACCGGCTGGTTTCCTCACCTGAACCAACTTTCAAGTGATGACAGCCCCCTACTTTTGTTATATTAAATACTAATAATGCTTTTTGGGCTGTTAGTAAAGTATCTACATAGGTTCAGACAGACCTCACAATTGACATTTGTTGATGTACTTAATCCAGCTAGGTACTTGATGTACATCTCACTGATTCTAGCAAGAAATGGTTCCTACAGTTACCAATAGGTTACTAACTAAAATAGGGCTAAGGACTGTTCTCTGACCCAGAGCAAAACACATGGCTGTACTGATGCTATATACACCTTACCCTCAGTGCCCTCTGTACCCCTGTGGTGTCCTCATGGCCCTGGTCATTATTATTATTAGCTTTTTTCAGTTCAAACTGAAGAAGCACTGGGGTTATCTTGCAAGTCATCACATTAGTTCTTCCCCAGCACTAAACCAAAAGGTTGTACATTAAACTGCAGGGCATGGCACCACTGTTAGAGAATACAGAGGCCACCATGACATCCCACGCCCTGAGGAAACAACAGAGCTGTTAACCCTTTAACCATGGCCACCTATCCTGAGGACCATTCCTCCAGACAGGTATCTCAGAGCTGTGACAGACAAAGGGGTTCACATGGACAAAATAATAACAGCAGCACTGAGCTATTACCTTCTGCTACAATTACAGTTGGCAATGCCTGTGCTTGGTCAATTGGCACAGAGGGGGAAACTCACTAGACATTAAATGCTAAACAAGTTTTTCAGTTTTACCTTGTTTTCCATCTTGACCATCCCCTTAGCTTCACATGGTTTCTTGCAAAATGAGGACCAATGTGAGCAGTCTGTACTTGAAGGAACGGGAACAATGCCTGGACATCTTGCAGGCAGCACAATCCTGTCGGTTGTCTACGCCTGACAAACCTCAATTACCACTCCCCTACTTCTTTCCTCTTCTAGACTTTCTATCTTTTTGCTGCTGGTTTTGTACATTTTTTTTCCTTCCTTCTCTTTTTTTTTCTTCTCTTAGGGAAGCAGCTGTAAAGCTCCACATGGAAGAATGAAACAGATTTGCTCATCTGGTTACCACATTTCACTTTGTGAGAAACAGCACTGTGTTTTCCCCACATTAAACACGTTACACATGACTATGATTAATTAGAAAATTCCTTCTGTTGTCAACTTTCCATGCTGACTATCATACTACCATAGCAATGTTTTCCCAGCTGCTGCAGACAGTGAGCCACGCCAGC